ATTTGGGTCATCAAGTCCAACCCCTGCTCAATGCAGAAACACAAACTAAAGCAGGGGTGTCAAATGCACATCGTCACAGCAGCATCACATGACTTTTTCCCCCTTTGCTAAACTGGGTGGGGCCGGGGCCAGCACAGGACACATTTGGCCCGGGGGGGGGGGGCAAGTTTGACACCCCTGAACTAAAGCATTTCCAGCAGCAGAGAATTGATTAGTCTCCATCTGAACTCATCCGGTGAAGGTGAGTCCACCATTTCACAGGGTAATTGATTTCACAGCAAACTCTTCTTACGGCTGGGAAATTTTTTCCAGTCTATTAGAGCAGGAATCTCTAACCTTTTGGACCTCAGGGACCACCAAATTCATAATTTTAAATCCTGCGGACCACTAATATGAATTTTTTTTAAAAAAAAATCATATTAGTTTTTAAAAACTAATTTAAAAAAATCATTTTAATTTTTTAAAAATTCATGTTTGTTCTGTTGCTGGAGGATGTAGCGCATCTACTCTGGCGTACCTTAGCAACTGAGTATTTCTCTCTGCCCTCCACTTTCCTGTTTTGTCTGCTGGATCGACGCAGGGGGACATCAACCTAGCTCGACCCTGGGGTGCTCTGTCCTGACCAGCCACTTTCTCTTGGGAGGCCCAAGAGAAAGCACGTGCTCCAGACACACAGCCTTCCAGGAACCTCTTTTGTGTTCCATCTTTCAAGAAGCTTGGTCAATCTGAGTGAAGGAAAATGAAGACGGGCAGACTGATGGTTGTGGGAAAGTCAGTCCCATATTCCAGAGCTGTAATAGCCACAGGACTGGCTCTTTGGTCATCCGATGCAGCTGCTCCGGGATGACCAAAGGGTCAGTCCTGTGACAACTACAGCTTTGGAATATGGGACCAGCCCATCTGGGGAGGAAAGGCAGCACTCTGGCTGAATGGGGGGGGGGGGGGCAGGGGGGGGCTGTCCTGGGGAGCGAGGTTGGGAACTGTGGAGGAACCGGCTCCTCCTCAAATGGAAGAAAAGCAGAGCCCCCCCCCCATCTGGTCTCCTGTCATTTTCATATCTCCCCCAAGTCAGAGGAAACCTCTCCCTCCTTTGCCAGGTGTGGCTGCTTGGAGTTGGGGCAGGGAAGGAAGGCCGGGCTGCTTCCATCCCTCCCCCTAACCGCATCTTCCAAAGAGACAAAAGAGCAAGTGAGGGGGGAAGAGCGCTGAGCTGAGGGATCTCGCGGCAACTGTTGCTGGGAGCAGAGGCAGAAAGGGGGCTTTGCTCTCCTTGGGGGGCAGCACCCCTCAAGCGGCTTCTCAGCAGGCAGCTGCCTGCAGAAGGACCGCTGCCCTTGGAAGGCTGGTCGGACAAAGGCTGGGGAAGCGATTAATTGGGGGGAGGGGAGAAAGTGGGGGCTCCTTTCAGATCCCAGGAGGATTGAGAGAGCTCAGAACTGCGGCTGAGGAAAAGCTCCAAACAATGCCGGGGGCTCTTCCAACCTCATCTGGAAGCAGGCAAGGAAAGGGGGGGAGGATGACACCTTCACCCCCCCCCCCAAGAGGAGAGTCGCTTCCCTCCAACAGCCTCCACTTCTGTGGCTTCTCACCTCTCCTGCCCTGGGAGGAGAGAAGCAACCTAGAACTAAAAAGAAATTTCCTGACAGTTAGAACAATTAATCAATGGAACGAATTGCCTCCAGAACTTTAACCTTAGACTGTCTACTATTGACCTCACCCCTTTCCTAAGAGGTCTGTAGGGGGCGTGCATAAGCACACCAACGTGCCTACCGTCCCTGTCCTATTGTTTCTCTTATTCTTCTTTTATTTTTCTTATATGTACCCATTTCATGTATTCACAACTATGTATACCAGGGGTGGGCAAACTTTTTGGCTCGGGGGCCGCATTGACTTTTAAAATTTGACAGACGGGCCAGGTCAGCACAAGATTTTTTGGGAATCGCCCCCCTTCCCCCCCTCTTCTCCTCCTTCCCCTCCCCTCGGAGGCTCCCCTCCCCTCGGAGGCCCTCTGAGTCAGGAGTTGCTACCGCCGGTGCGGCTCCAGTCCCGCGTTGCCTCAGGAAGGGAAAGGCAAAAAGGAAGAGCCGCGTCGGTGCTTTGCAACGGGAGCAGCGGCACCGGAGGCTCAGGCTCAGCGGCTCCTGGTTTTGCCTTTTCCTTCCCAAGGCAACGCGGGACTGGAGCCGCATGTAGCTGCGCCGGCGGTAGCAACTCCTGACAACCCCAGCCGGACACCTGAGCGGAGCCCGGGCGAAACTGCCTCTTGCTGCTGCCGGAGCACCACCGGGTCGCCTCCTCCAAGCAGCCTGCCCCCCCACCGGGCTTCCCCTCTGCCGCGCGGCTCGGGGCCAGGTGCAAGCGCCCGCGAGTTAAAACGAAGCCGAAAGTTGCTGGGAAGTTGCTCGGGTGCTGGGAGCAGGCTTTAAAAGTGCCGCCCGAGCAGGACCGCCGAGCCGGGAAACGGGGCACCAAGGCAGGGCAAAGCTCCACCAGCAGCGGCCTAGCTTTAGGTGGCTCCAAGCAGCCCACCCCGCCCGCCGGGTGGAACCCTTCCCGCTCCTCGGCGGGAAGACGCTCCAGCCTGCAAGCTTTGCCTTTGCAAAGTTTAAGCCTGGAAGCCCCGGAAAAAAAGTGGGATCGGCGGGGACTCACCTTCGAAGAGGTCGCACTCGAAGGTGATTTCAAACTCCCAGCCGAGGCCTTTGCAAATTTCTTTTCTTTCCTACCCCTAGATCGCTCCGCACTGTTTTGCAGCTTTGGGGGCCATGCGGCACAGGGCAATTACGCCACGCCCAGCGATTTTTTTTCAGGGGCGGCCCGGATTGGACAGACCAATGGCAGCAATTTTTTTTCAGGGGCGGGCCGCATTGGACAGACCAACGGGCTGGATGTGGCCCGCGGGCCGTAGTTTGCCCACCCCTGATGTATACACTTATACTTATTATCTTGTAAACAATTGGCAAATCAAATCAAATAAATAAATAAATAAATAAGTTGTGGATGCTTCCAACACTGGAAGTTTTTAAGCAGAGATTGGACAACAGGGCTTCCTGCCTGAGCAGGGGGTTGGACTAGAAGATCTCCAAGGTTCCTTCCATGTTATTCTGTTGTTTTCTTAAGTGTCTCTGAATGTTGCTATTTTTTAGGTCAGATTTATGTCTTTTTTAAACACAAAAAGGCATAGATACAGGTAGTTCTCAACTTGCGTCCGCAATTGAGCACAATATTTCCATTGCTAAGCAAGATATTGTTAAGTTTTGCCCTTATGACTTTTCTTGCCACAGTTAAGTGAATCCCTACGGTTGTTAAACTAGTATCATGGTTGTTAGGTGAATCTGGCTTTCCACTGAATTTACTTATACGTCACCAAAGGTGATCACATGATACTGGGATACTGCAACATCAAAAACACATGCTAGTTGCAAAGCAGCCAAATTTTGATCACGTGACCATGGGGATGTTGCAATGGTGTGTGAAAAACAGTTACTTTTTTCAGTGCTGTTGTAACTTTGAGTGGTCACCAAGTGTATGATAGCAAGTCAAAGGCTACCTGTACCAGCCATTTTTTTCTATAAAAGAACAGCATTGCTGCCAAGCAATTGCAACTGATACTCACATATAGTAGATAGACAAAAACAACACAGAAAAATGTATTTAGAACTTTATTCAAATAGTACGAATAACTTTCAATGGAGTGGCAGAGAAAAAGAGAAAACATTTTTTTTTACCTCTTAATCTAGATACAAATATTCCTTCTTGTTAAAATAAACTATGCAATTCAGAACTAATAAAACATATGAATGCTAATACATGAATACATCAGGGGTCTTCAAACTTGGCATGTTTAAGACTTGTGGACTTCAACTCCCAGAATTCCTTCTCCAGCCATGTTAGCTCAGGAATTCTGGGAGTTGAAGTCCACAAGTCTTAAACATGCCAAGTTTGAAGACCCTTGGAATAAATTAATGAATAACCTTTCATCCATGAATGCTAAATCCCATTAGTCATTGGACATACAGAGTAATACAAAAGTTTGTCTATAATGTATTCCACAAGGGAAACATAATCTTTAAATATCTTGATAAAACAGTAATTAAAACTCAAGAGACCAAATCTTTGCCCAAATACAGGAATTTTGATTTCAATATGCCGATCTCACCAGAATAGCCACAGTCATCTTCCAGCATTTTATCATAAATCAGACTGAACAATAAAAAAAACTTGCTTATGAATTATTACAGAAAAAAGGACAGTTATATAATTAACTCAGCACATTTGTATTTAATAAAGAAAATACCTGTGACTGTTTTTCAACATCATAGTGATCTGTGTTTGGAAAATATTTTTAAGTTCTTAACATTGTAAACTTATTTGATTAGATTTTGCTTAGCGGACCCATTGGGCCAAAAGTATCATCTGAACAGCTATGACCAAAAGTACAAATGCTCTCTCAAAGTTAGAATTACAAGTAAAATTCTAAATGTAGGCAATATGTCTACTGCATTGCAACGTAAATGCTTGTGGCATGCACAGAAATGTAACAAACAATGAAATATATGAGCACACCCTATATCTCCTGAGAATTCAAGGGGTAATAAGGCATGAAAGTTGACTGGGTAGCTTTGGACCAGTCACACTCTTTCAGCTAAGCTCACCTTACATGGTTGTTGTGAGGAAAATAGGAAAAGGAAGGAGTATTAGATAGGTCCACCATTTTGAGTAACTCATAAAAATAAACGTGGGATAAAAAAACAGATCTAAAGAAACTATAAAAGACAACCATCCCTTCACATGGAGATATAGACCATCAGTAGGCCACTGAGTAGATTAAAATGTTCATGTATTCCACTCCAAAGCATGCCTTCAGAAAGCCCACAACAGTGGTACAAAAACAACTGCCTATTCTTATCACAGAGTGACCATGAACCTGGATGTATGGAACAGTACCAATTCTTTGTGTTCAGGAAAGCTGCCAAACTGAAGACTCTTTTTGGAAAGTCTTTGAGGACTGATGACGCAACAGTCCCCTTCCTGCAATTGTGAACATTATTACCAGTACTATTTTCCTTGGTATCAGTGGTGATTGTTATTAGGTTTGGTTAGTTCCTTTTAATTATGGCTATTTTTATATCATCTGTAAGGTTCTCAGAGCTTTTTGAAATTGTGGGGCATATAATTCACAATATATAGATAAGTTAAATATGCTTATACCTTGTCAAAGGAAACATTGCTGGTCTAGGGCTCTTCAACTGGAAACTGATTCAGGGTTGCTAAAAAAATGACCATTAACTTGAGGGACTCCACAAGTATTTCAGAAAAATTCCAAAGCCTTAGGAATGTTGAGAACAAAGGAGTACTGGAAGAGGAAATATCTGGATTCACATTTTATTCCCCTGTGCTCTAAAAGGAGGATACATTATTGCCTAATTCAGGGCCAAGGTTTCTATGGACTGGTCCTACTTTTACATACAGTACAGAATAAAAAAATACTCAAGGCTGAGCAAACAGTATCTGTCTATAAATTAGCCTGGGCTATGGAATGTTGAAGGTATCAATATAAAACAAAGGCAAACAGAGAAGGAAAAAATCACTTTCATAGGCAACTGAACACATTTATAGTAGGTTGGGGAAATAATTAAACTGTATTTTTAAATCTTGTATTTTCAGTGATGCCAAAATGCCTAAAAATATAGACGTGTATCCCAAAGTACCATAATTTATAAATAGGAAATGACAGATTCACATATTTAATGAGGTTTTTTTAATGAAATCTAGTTTGAATTTCCATAGCATTATTCACGTCATAGATCCAAAATGATCTAACGCAATTTTCCAGCTGCCCAGCTTGCAGCTATCATTACTGCAAGTATCCCTCAGGTTTTTCCTGTCATTTGCTTCCTAGTGCTACAAACTTGGGGGATATTTGCAGGAGTGGGACCTGACCGGTGTAACTACTGGTTCGGTGATTTACATTTTGAAACGTCGTCAGCTGTGCTGCCTGGACAGCTGAGCAGCGCTGCGCACAGCGTTTGAAACAGCACTATTTTCCTGCTTTTTCAACCGCAGCTATGCCGCTCAAAGCAGCTGAGCTTGAAAAAGCAGGAAATAAAGGACAGGTAAGAACCTGGGCAGGTGGGTGGGCCAAAACAGCAGCAGACACAGAACTGGTTCTGTGTCTGCTGCTCTTCAGAGCTACTGGTTCTACAGAGCTGGACAGACAGTAGAATCCCACCCCTGGATAATTGCAACAATGCAGAAGTGTATTCTCTTAGAAACTATAGCATCCTGATACTAATTTCACTTCATGAAAATGTAGGAGGGCTCTAGTGAATAAATAGAGCTTGCAAATAATAAAAACATAAGACCGAATATTTAATCCTTCCAGGGAACTGTATAGTTGTGTTCAGTTTTCTATGAATGTGGGAGCAGGAAGTTCAGGAGAATTTGCACTTTAAGGTGGAACAAACTGTCAAAAAATCAACAGTTGAGAATATGTTTCCCTTTTGTGAAGTCTCTCTTTAATGCTCCTCTCCTTCCCATATCATCTACATTTTATAGCCCAGGAAATTCAAGGTAGGACATAATTTAGTTTTAGTTGTAGTTTTTAAGGTTGGGCACACTTCAGAATGAATAGGAAAAGATGTTTTGATCCTTACACAAGCTCAGTATCTCTCTGCTCACTCATTATACTAGCCCAATTTTTTTCAGCCTTCTACAGAAGCATTTTTGGTCAGGCTTGAATAGAATCCTTAAAAACAGAAGCTTGAATGAATAGCAAAAGGATGATATGTTCATATGAGTTCCAAAATACATCTTCCAAATTCTTACTGAAGCACGTATAGCCCTATAAAAGAACAAAACAATAACAAAAAAAGAGTATATTCCAAATAAACTTTTAGAATTAGGAGAGTAACTGCAGCTAATGAACAAGTATTTCCTGAGGGTATAGACAGCTTTCAGAAGTGTATACAAACTTTTTCTCAGTATATGCATGTATGTGTATATATGTATGTGTGTATATCTTTAGCAAATATACTGTATATGCATGTATATTTCTTTAGCAAAAAGAAAAGTGAACTGAGAAATCAATAATCATGTTCAAAAAGCAGGCTCTTCAAATTTTAGTAGATGAAGTGTTTCTGAGACATCCGGTGGCTGCATCATATAAAGACTTAGCTGACTTGAGCAACTCTGGACACGGAACGGACAGAGCTAAGGAAGTTGAACATGGTGGTCACCAGGTCTGGAAGATCATAATCATGTTTCCATCCCCAATCTTGGCGGGCATTGTTGTCATCAAAAACCATTGGCCAACTGTCAGCTTCAACAAAAATAAAGAAAAACATATATATTAAATCAAAGGCAAAGGGCTTTGAAAGTCCAACCCAAGAATTTCACTTTTTTCCCACTTAGGAAGTTTAGAAAGCAGCAACTTTCAAACAGAGAAAACAGTTAGAAGAGAGGTGATGTCAAAACTCTCTTATAATACGCAGTGCAGAAAAAGCAGCTTTGTATGCTTAACAGATTTCTTTCTCACTGGAGATAATGTATATTCTTTAAGGTATCTGCATGCACATTTAAGAACTTTTAAAACGCAGTCATTACAATCCCATTTGAAAGTCACCCCCTTAGCAGGTAGAAAATCCAGCTTAAAGTTTCAATGCACACTTTGTCACAAAGTTTATATCTTATATGGATTCCTGAAAAGGTACCAAAACAAAAGGTAAAAGCTGAATTTTTGCAGCTTGGGACTCTTTTTTTTAAAATAAAAGTGAGGTCCATCTACAGTATATAGCTGGTGCAATTAAGCAGCTTAAAGTCTTTGCCAGGCCTAGCAATGAAATTTCAATCTTGTACACTTTCTCAAAAAAAAATCTCTCAGTTTGAAAGAACAAAATTGTCCCAGCCCATTGTCATAGCTTCATGCACATAGCTTCATGCAGCATTGTGAAAGCCAAAGCCAGGTACTAACCAATGGCTTGTCTAACGAGATCTACATTGTAGGCAACTTCAAGTTCTGGAATATGCTTCTGGACCTCTTGAACCAGCTCCTCAGGTGAAAAACTCATGGCATTGATGTTGTAAGTCCTCATGCTCAGCTGCTCAGCAGGTGCTTCCATGATCTCCAAAGAAGCTCTAAGACAGTCATCGATATACATCATTGGCAAGTGGGTATCTGCTTTAAGATTACATTCGAATTTTCCAGTCTTGAGAGCATCATGGAAAATTTGGACTGCATAATCTAGTAGAAAAAGAAAAGATGGCAGCATGCCTGGTTCAGGTGATATAACATTAGTTGGAACTCCAGTTACATATAAAAAAAACAGATTATCAATATGGTAATTGATTATCAAAAGGTAAAATGAAAGGATGCTTAGAAGAGTAAATTATTATGAAACACAGCGAAAGTTTAACAGGAACTGTATTAATTAAAATAGAGGTGAATGTTTCAAGTGTACCTTTTATAGTCCAGGTCCAAACTACATTTATTTATTTACATTATTCATGCAGCTAAAATTCTATGGAGACTCTCAGTCATCCAACTATATGGTTGTCTCAAAGCTGCTTTTTCAACTGGACTTTCTTGTTTTTCTTTGAAAATGTTTTGCTTCTCATCCAAGAAGCTTCTTCAGCTCTGACTGGAGGTTGGGGAATGGAAGGATTTCAGTAAAGGGATACAGGGCAGAAAACATCCTGCAGGAAGCACAGCTCCACAACACAGTCCTTTCTGCAGTTCCAAGAAGGCTGCACACCATTTGATTTTTTTGAGTAATGGGCGTGAGCCTTCTTGGAACTGCAAAGGACTGTGTTGTGGAGCTGTGCTTCCTGCAGGATGTTTTCTATGCCGTTTTCTGTGACCTGTGTCCCTTCACTGAAATCCTTCCATTCCACACCATCCAGTCAGAGCTGAAGAAGCTTCTTGGATGAGAAGTGAAATATATTCAAAGAAAAACAAGAAAGTCCAGTTGTCTCTTGAAAAAACACCTTTGGAATTATTCATGTAGATTTAAAAGAAAAATGCATAAATGTATGTTAAAGAAGAACTGTCATTTAGACCTGGTTTAGAGCACATTCCTTACCAAAATCTGAGCAACCTGGTAGTTTCTACTAGCAAGTTTTCATTTCCAGGAGTTCAGAAATGAAGAATAAAAGGTAACCATCAGAGGGAGAAAAAGGGCAGGGCAAGCTAAAGAAATAATCTCGGAAGCACCCAGTAGCCTTTCCTCAGCCTATGTTTTTTGCTTCCATCCCCTCTAGTTTTTCTGACTGCCTGTCAGAGACCTACAGAGAATGGCTTTTGCATGAAAAATACATAACTTACAAGCATAAGCAGAACCACTTTTCTTGTGGTTTTACCTTTATATTTTACGGGTTAAATTACTCGCCGGTCAATATAAAAATAAAAGATTGGACTGCATCAGCTTCCTTACCAGTTGTTCCTCCACCAGGCTGGGAATCTGCTGAGATAATGCCAGGATACCTTAGACACCGGAAATCTAGCCCATATCTATAATGATAGTACTGACACACACACATAAAATTAAAAGGGGGAAAGAAGAAGAAATGAAATGTACCATTAATTGTGATTTGTGCCAATACAGGTTGAATTACTTGTTGCAAATCGAAGCTTTATGTTCTATATTGGTGAGAATGATTATTATAAAATCACATGTTTCTAGAGACAACATTCGCTGTAAATAATAACCATATATAGTAAATGGCAGAGTTCGCATCAAAGCCTGATATGACATGACTCGCTAGTACCCAAAAGCACCAGAAAAACCTGTTCTGCATGGATGTTAATTTCTCTGGAGGCATTTGTGGTTATATAAATTGACTGTTTCAATGAATAAATAAATTTCACATTTTGCCGCTTACATCTTCAGAAAATCGGTATTAATTTCCATGGGATCCAAGACCTTAATTAAAAAGGGTCTTGATTTTTGTTGATGGGAGCATACATGTAGGAGTTAAAATTAGAAAGAATTAGAAAGAGGCAGAGGCAAATCAAATGAAACCAGAAGCATGACAAGCTAGTGAGGAGAAGGAAGGACAGTTTCTGTCAAAAGGATAGTGGAAGAGAAATGGCCTTGGGGAGCAGGAGTACTGCACAGGCAGCAATATGGTGTCTTCTTGGTTGCATTCTGAACTCCAAATCCAAAGAAACAGTCTAGTACAGTGGTGTCAAACTCGTGGCTTCATGTTGTCATCATGTGATGTATTGCAACTTTTTCCCCCTTCAATAAACCGGGGATGGGCATGGCTAGCACGAGTTTGATACCTGTGGTCTAGTGGAAACCGAAATGGCTTGCCAAAGAAAGATTTTCAGTCTCAAAAAGCCATAGATTCATAGCGATAGGCGAGAAAAACTGCTTAGCTCTGCATCTTTTCATTAACACCAGAAAATTTCTGTTTCTACTGCTGGGTCATTCTAAAAAAAAAAAAAAAAGCTAACTGAAATACAGTAGAATTGTGGCATATGAGGGTTGTTGTTGTTGTTTTAAATAAAATGAACCAGTTAATGTCCCTGCAGTTTTCTTGACATTTGTGGCTTGTCTGGTTTCTTCTTTCTAGGGACTAGAGAGGGACTGGCCCATGTCGCCCAGCAGGCTTTGTGCCTAAGGCAGGAGTAGATCTTACAGTTTCTAGCTTGGTGTCTTTACCCATGACACCAAACTGGCCTCAAAATGATCATAGTAAAATAATATTATAGAACATAAATATATTAATACAAAATACAGATGTGTTCCTTCCATTTCTAAAATGCATATCTTGCTGCAGTAAAGCTGATGCTTATTATAGCTGTGTTCATGTGTGCTGAAAATTTATTTAAGATGGCAACAAACATTCAGGTACCTGAAATGGATTTAGCTACCAACCTGTCTTCAGACTACTGTAAACAGAAGACTCATAGCTTGAAACTTCAGAAGGCTATCATTGACATATTTGCCAAACATTTATGGATTATCCAGATATATAAGAAACCCAGCAATTCACATTTTTGATACCATCTTATATAGTATGCTGGTTCTTAGCCACTTGAATCTGCACACAATCCAATGGTCAAGAATCTTTGAAAAACAAGTTGTTCTTCAGTATTTATCAGCTTTGCTCAACAGATTACATATGGTTTTGACATTGTAGTTACTAAAAACATACTGCTTAGAAAGCCTACTCATTGGATTCTCTAATCGTCGTGCTGGAGAAAGCCTACTCATTTTCAAATGTGTGTTGCTATTTGATTTCTCTTATAATTGAAACTGCAAAGGCTACAATTAAGAGTGTCAGTGCAAAAGCAATATAACAAAACTAAAAAACCAGTTATAAGAATAAAAAGGAAAGGAAAATTTAGCTACTGGCTTTTATAGCACTTCCTATTTATATACCTGATTGTGAAAGAACAAGGCAACAAACAACAAAATGGTTATCATTACCTCTCCCATAAGTTCAGCATGAACCTTGGAAACTCCATAGATTGTCCTTGGCCTTTGGATACAAAGATCAGGGGTTGGATTCCTAGGGGAAGTTGGTCCAAAGGCACCAATTGTGCTAGGAACAAAGAGTCGCAAACCATGCTCAGCAGCTATATCAAGAATGTTGTGCAGCCCTGGGAACAGCAAACAAGCATTTTTAAGCCCAAAACAAAAAGGAAAAAAAGAAATAACAAGACTTCTATAGTGCAGTAGGTATACCTAAACAAACAACTATAAATATGTTAAGACATACCAGTAATATTCACAGATCTTGCCAAAGGGACATTAGCTTCTCCAACTGCACTGAGCAAAGCACTGTAATGAAATAGCCAAGTAATCCTGTTGTTCACCACAATCTCACGAAGATTCTTGTAATCCAAAATATCAGAGTAGATGAAAGGACCTAAGTGTAAAAAGGTGGTTTAAAATAATCCATGCTGTGCCGAAGATGTCAACAGCTTGTAAATACAGTCAATGACATTTTCAGTTAAAGAAGGAATTTGATGAATGCATTACAATTTCAACAATTTCTAATTCCATGTTTTTTTATGAATACGGTATTTGCAATGCAGTAGCATAGACAGATATGTACTGTAAGATATGCAAGTGCATGATGTATATGTCCATATATACTATGGGTCACCCATACAAAGTCACTAAAAATGAACACATTTGAATTGCAGCAGGGCTTTGATATATTTGGAATGAATTTCATTTTATCTAGGATGAACATTGTTTGAAGACCTATAAATTTCTATTTTATCCTAGATCGTAACAAAGCATTTAGCATATACAATAAGGACAAGACCCTCTGAAAAAGCTATGCATTGAGAAAGTATGAGAGTGGGTTTAGAAACACAGATTTTACTTAATAAAAATTATGCTTGTTTCAAAGAACAGTTTTTAGTTTAACTTCTTTGCTTCTTGGAGAGTAATACTATGACAGACCACTTATACTGTATTTGAACAGAATTTTGTATTTTGAAAAGTTGCACAGCACATCATTTTGTAGAGCATATAACACTTGGGGCAGAGAGCTCATTTCAGTGAGTATAGCAAAGGAGGCATGACCTGGGCAGAAACCATGTTGGTTGGCCAAAATTGAGGTTGATACAGCAATTGAAACATTGCTTTAAATATGTATTTCCTGCATGGGCTGTTGCAGCATTTTCTTTTACATATCCTCTCATATTTAAAACTCAGGCAATGAGTTAGCAACAAGCAAATTAGCTTAGGTCAAATTAAATACATCTTCTTTGACATAATTTGACACTAATCTCCCATCAATTTCCGCAAGGTTTCTGAAGAACTGAAAAAACCCTGTGACAAAAACAATATTACAATGATTCAATTGTGTCCATTCATGCTCTAATGCTTCCAAGCTATAAGAGTACTCTATCATATTGATACTCTTCTGCTCAAAGCCAATTAAACAATGTACATAACATTATATTTGCTATTCTAATTTCTTATGGCTGGATTATAACAAACATATCTTTCATTGTGGGCAACACTCACAGTCTGAAAGAGGGGGAAAAACTGGAGAGAAACTTATAAGCTTGAGTCATATGACTTCAAGGATGATTGTAAGGATTAATATCCAAAAACCTAAGATTTAACTAAAATAAAATATTCTTGTAAAAAAAACTGTTAAGTCCTAGAAAATAATCACTAAATATTTCTCTTTGTTTAATATGGTACTCACCACTATAGAAGACACTGTCGGGGGGCTTTCTAATATCTGACAGAATCACGTTGTTCTTTCCAAAGCGTTTTCTGGAGAAGATACCATAAGTAATGTTTCATTTTCATTTTGAACACAGCTTTTAGAGCAAAACTTACTCTGCATTTGAGATGCATTTTTAATCCATATATTCTGCACTCCATAATACTGATGTTTCCAACCACCACCCTATCGCTCTCCAAAATAAGTATAACCAACTAGGAACAGATTGTATTATTTTCTTTTTCCACCCCATCTCCCCCGCCCCAAAATAGGGTCAAGATAATATATTAGAAAAGCAATGGCTCATCTGTAGCTGCATATCATGGATGCAAGAAAAAATTAAAATACAGGAAGGCATATAGCCTTAATAAAAGATAACATTGTTAACAGAAGTAATGAAGGTTATGTCTTACCGTAGCAATTTAGCAAGTCCTACTCCAAGCTGGCCTAGTCCCCCTGAAAAGCAAGAATATAATGTTTGTAAATTATAGTTGGAAATTTCTTTTTTTTTTATCTCATTTATAAGGACTATCCAAGCGCAGGAGTTGCTGATGTTCCTAGAAAAGTTCACAGAAAAGTTTAATTGACTAGTTAAACCGTGGCACTTTTACAGATGTAAATTATTGAAAATGGCTGAATTGAATTACTTTTTTATGCATAAGATGCCTTTAAAGGTCATCTGTCTATACTATGCTCTTTAGTTCTGTAGACATATAGTACCCATTATAAATTATCTTGGCTGGTGGAAAGTTCAAAATATTTGAAGGGCATCGGAAAGAGGAAAGAAGATATAAGGATTCCAGTAAACAGAATCCAGAATGCATCAAGTGTACAGAAATAGTTATGGAAAGGCAGCTTGAAGGAGATTATTTTGAACCTTGCTAACGGGGCTGTAAATTGTGACTGATAAGAATAGTAACCACCTGATAAAAGACAAGCACCCTTATCTTCTAAATCTCTGGCTCTTGGGGAAAATAATCTGCCATGCAGGTGGGAACTAGATTCTTTTTTTCCAAAGCCCTAGTGACATCTAGAATTGCTTTGGAAGAAAATCTATTATTCTTTAATGATGGAATTGTTATAGTTTGGATTAAGAAGAGTTGAACCATTTTCTAACGAAGTTTGTGCTCCAACTTATTTAAGTGCCACATAAAACTTGTGTTTAAATAGAAACCAAATGAATATCAATTCACATGATCAGATACAATTGGGTAAAAAAAATCTCATATTAAACAATTCGAAAGTAGCATCTAAAATTTGGCTGACCTGTAATTAACACCCGAGGGTGATCAGTTTCTGAAAAACATACTGAATGAAAGCTGGCATCCGATGGCACCTGCCGGGGTGAAATGCTAAGACCTCTAGCTGGCACAAGAGCAACCTGACAACCACAGCCAGGTTTGTTCAACAGATGTTTAACAGCACAGCTCAAATTCTTGATGGCAGGCATTTTTCAAGTGTGCTGGAAAAGAAAAGAAGAAATCCATTGAATAGTTTTTTCATCACTGTAAAGTGACCAGATTGATTTCTGAAGTTCTGGCAAGTTACCAATAAAAGGGATAGAAACAACAGCTGTCAGCTGCAACACATATGTTCTTCATCAATCTGCTTTGATACTACCAAATACCCTATACCTCCTGATTTTTAAATATATAATAAATAAGATGCTGGCATACTCCAAATATAAGCCAGTATCTAAAAACCTATTTATTATCTGCAATGTGTTTAGGATTCACCAAGTCCTCAATAGGATAATTGAGCATGTTTAGAAGCTAGTTCTCCTAATAAATGGGAAGGTTGTAAGTAGCCATGCCACTCTTGCTATTTTATATGTGTCACATTCCACAAACTTCAGATGTACTTCGCCATAAAAGACTGCCTACTTTTGGTGTTTGGTTAACCCTTCTCAATTTGAAGCCGTTTAAACACATGCACCAATAATCCCCACAATTTTTAATTAAGCAGCCACTGCTGAGTTGGCTGGGGATGGAGCGAATTGCCCTCACAACATATCTGAAAAACAACAAATTAGGAAAGGCTGCTGCAGATTAGAGATGAGCAATCCACAGACTCTGAGCTCCTTGGTTATCAATCCCAAGATCGTGCTGCTGAAATTCAGCAAAAGTACCTTTAATGGCCAAAGCATATAGTGGATTATCTGGACATGTTTGATTCAATGCAGATAATACTTCCAGTTCCCAGCCACACATATAATTGTATTCTGATTATTTGTTAAAATCAACAGCAATGATATTTCTACAGAGCAGCATTCAATATTAAAAAATGTAATATGTTCCATAGATAATTTCCATAAATTGTAGCCATCTTATTAAGGCTGCCAAATATTCACATAACTTGAGTAGAAAGTGTTGCATCTGTTCAAATTGAAATATATAAATGTAAAACCAACCCATTAAATTCATATAATCTCCAGTTCAGGAATTCCCCTCCTTGAAATGGAGAGATACTGCAAAAAGTATCCTCTTTCAGAAACCACAAACCAAAATTATATCCTGCTATTCAGCTCACAGCCAAACTACAACTTTAGCAGCTTGGTTTGGGTTTTATTGTGAGTGGAAACTAAAAACAGAATACTTCATTATTCACTGTTTTAGTGACTGCCACATCATCTCTCTTTAGAATCAATCAGTTAACATTTGCTGTACTGTCAAGCTAACATAAATGTTAAGAAGTGAAGTTACAAACTCCAGATATTGATGAAATTATAGAATTTTTCTTCATTCTTTGCAAATGAACCAACCCCACTCAAGAAATTACACTTCAAATATTAGAAAGGTTAATAATCATAATTATAATCATTCAATTTAGAGACTCCTGACTCTATAGCAGTTCACAGGATGACTTAACAATTGATAATAAAAAATGAAAAAATCCCTAAACTAAAAAACCCACACCCAACCATCTTGAAACATTATTTTTTTTCAGAACTCACCAAGTTTAGAATATCCCCTAAAATGCACAAAGCGCTTAACTAACTTTAATATTAATACAGTGTCTTACAAATCAGTAAAATATTTTTTCAGGAAAAATGATCAACACTCTACTAGATACATTTTCTTTCAGTTTTACTTCACAATATTAGAGATAGAAAAAAAATCTGCTTTCAATTCAGTAAAAAAACAACCTACAAACTTTCCCACTCCCTATGAAAAACAGATGATGCCAGATAACCAGCTTACCGTCTTTTCTGCAAGTGGTTTTGAAAAGCAAAAGAGGTATATTTATAGGGCACAGCCTCTCTGCTAAGCCAATCAGAATTCCTGAGGTACTGGGAGTTGTTCACTACATAGAAAAAGGTGTGTTCTCTGCATGTGATATCAGCAAAAAGTGGACACATCATACTCCTCTTTTTCAATTTCAAAGGACATGACCTCAGACTAGGCAGGAACGTTTGAAGAAAACACAATCACAGGGCTGCTAGGGATGTTGTTTTTTTTTTGTTTTGGGAAAAGGAAGACTGAATTGTATTTTTCTTTTCCCTAATCAGGAAAGTTAAATTAACTCTGCATGATTATTATGAAAACTGAAATTACAGCATAATAATGAGGATAATGTGATTTCAAAGTGCACTTTCAAATTTGTATCCAAAAATTCATCTTGTATCCAAAAATATTTCAAAATTTTATTCCTTATGAAACTTGGTCTAATTTGCATAAGCAAATGAGCATCACTAGTGATGCGAGATAGAAAGTTTCCTACAGGAAAATAAAACATTACAATATTTTTCCTTTTAGAAAATACTTTTCTGTATCACCAGCTATAATCAAGACATATGTTGAAGCCATTTGGGATATTAGTGCAAATATCTTTTAAACTCAGAAACACGATAAGCACTCAAATACTGCTGGTTTGTAGTTGTTTGGATAAAGCATCACCACGTAAAGAAGTTAATGGTGCTAATGTATCTGTGGAAGAGGCCCTTTAATTTAAAGTACTATCAGTACAACACTCAAAGAACACCAAATATCAGATTTGTAGTCAACAGACTTATGTAAGCCTGTATTACTGGCAGCTAATAAATTAATATCATACCATCATGTGACAGATTACCAGCATGACAAAATAATCAGAAACACCTGTTCTGTAGGAGAACAAAAAACATGTCTATATAAATTAGACCCTAGTACTTTTCAGTATCAATAGAACTATTTGTTCTAAAAGTTAATATTAAAAAGAGATGATAAAAATCTTTATTGCTTTGTGGTCTTAGAACAGAAAATATAAGGCTATACAAACATATTAAATAATATTTTTAAAAATCAAGACTTAAAATGAATAATCTCTTTCAACATGGTAGAATTGTTAGCATTGTAAGCAGTTACTCAAAAGCAGAGTTAGCTTTTTTCTCACATTCTACAGAAAAATACTTAATAATGTTATTGGACCATCATCCAGTTTCTCATAAAAGCTGTGTCTTCCTTGGACAGAAGTTATAAAGGTTTTGTTTGCTGTAAGGGAAGACTATTTTTAGCAGAAAGCTAATAAAGAGCCCAGTTAGAAATATACAGGTAGTCCTCAACTTACTTCCACAATTGAGCCCAAAATTTTTGTTGCTAAGTGAGAAATTTGTTAAGTAAGTTTTGCCCCATTTTACAACTTCCCTTGCCACATTTGTTAAGTGAATCACTGCACTTGTTAAGTTAGTAATACAGTTGTTAAGTGAATCTGGCTTCCCCATTGACTTTGCATGTCAGAAGGTCACACAAGGGGGGCGTCACGGGACATAAATGAGTAAGTTGTCAAACATCTGAATATAAATCACGTGACCATGGGGGATGTTGCAAAGGTCATAAGTGTCAAAATGATCACTTTTTTCAGTGCCATAGTAACTTCAAATGGTCACTAAGTGAATTGTTTAAGCACTACCTGTACTGGCTTCTTTCAAAATCAAAAGGGCAATAACCAATTGTAATTATTATATTTACAGCTATTATAGTTCCAAAACTTTATCAATTAAAGTAATGTGTGATCATAGTGAATTCAATGCAGTTTTCATTTCCTAATCAATAAAATGATAAAAAGTCAGATGGTATCATTTCTACTAATAACAGTTGTTCATATAAAGATTCTAAAATCCAGTTTTGGGGCAATCCACAGGTCACAAAATAATCTGTATAATGTATTACCCTTGCAAGGATTTCGACAGTTTTAAAAATGCTAATAAGGCTATTTTGGATTCCTTCTATAGAAAAAAGCCAATTATTGCCAAATCGTATTTAATTAGGCTCTCCAGATGTACAAAATATTGTACCATGGAGAAGTCAGAATTGATAATTTGGTTAGCAGTGCCCTATCCAAGACTGCTCACTTATCTCAGCTGTAAGACAGCTCATATCTGTTTCCCTACTATCACATACACACACATGTTCTAGTACAGGGCTGTCAAACTCCCAGCCTGCAGGCCATGCCCATGCCCGTTTTATCAGAGGGGAAAAAACGTCACGATACCTCATGTGATGACATGAGTTTGACACTCCTGTTCTAGTATCTCCTTCGTGTGCCACTTTGGTTAGATGGGCTGAGTTCTCAGCTAGTATATGGAGCGTTTATTTCTCATGGGACTGGTGTGAGAATGGTGAAAGCAGTACATAATACAGTACGCAGTAGAATTATTACTAGAAGTACAGTCATAATTAAGGGGATTCTAGGTTTCCTTTCCTCTTTCAGTTCTGCTTTGACAGTCAGATATGCAAAGCACATACACACCCTTACTGTAGTGGTTGTTGATTGCAAGCTCTTCTTGTGACAGATGCTTGCATAATTGTTATGCTTCCAGTTTTGAAGCTTACTGTAAGCGTTAACTTTTATGTAAATTGAATAATATCATGCAAACAATGTTATGTTCTGGCTGCTAAGCAAGAAGACAGACAATGGTCAGAATAAAAGAGAAGCTGCTGTGATCAGGAGTTCATTTTTCTCTCATTTGGGAAGTCATATGAGCTCCCACTCATCAGGAGAGGGTGGGCATGTTTTGGAAGCTGAGTACAGCATGTAATACTCCCCCCCCCCCACCGTAAGTGAAGGTCTCAATGGGCAGGAGAATGATACTGAGTAGATTGGACCGTGATAGTCAAAGAGGGGTTTTTTTTTGGGGGGGGGGCATTTTGGGAGCTTATAGGGTTTGTGTATATGCTTTTTGTTTTTTTAAAGTATCAGGCCCATTTAAGGTTTATATTATAGCTGAACATGTCCTTCTTCAAAAGCGTATAAAATTACAGGGGTTTGTTTTTTGTTTTTTTTTACTTGAAAGATAATTAAAAGACAATATTAGAAGTGTGTTGGACATTTTGGAATATTTAAAACAACATAATGAAAAAGAAGTGGCATTAATTTTCTTATGTCATATTCTCATATCTTGGAGAGAACTTTATAAAATAGATTAAGATTGATTTATGCTTCACAGAAAGCACAAATAACTGTTAATGGAAAACTAATAAAGCC